GGACCCCAAGCCAAACACGGCATAGAGAATCACGCGAGATCCAGGTGAATAGGCAACTTTAACGCAAGATCCATTCACATTCTCATAGCAGAGCTGCACGGCCGGCTGGGAGATATTGCTGGCCATGCTTCTGCTGTTTGATGTCTGCTGTGCGTCTGCTCCTTCCTGTAATAGGAAATGATAATTTTGAACCCTTAAAATCAAAAAGATAAAACTACATTTTTCAATAACTACTTCTAAATATTGCCTCATATCTTTTTTTGTCATTTCAATTACAAAGTAAATAATCTTTTAAAATTAAAAACTTAAAAAGAAGCATTCTCTTTTTCTTGAATCAAAGAATTCTTTCTGTGACTTTGTCTAAACCTCATAGTTAACCACGAGCCAAACTGCTGTGAATTTCCTCAGATTAAAAATCACATTATTAATTATCTGAATAAGTGAAGAAATTTAACTTAAATACCTTCTTCTTTATACTTGTGAAGCTCTTTCTTGCAAAAGATATTCAAGTGCAATATTATTCCACTTTTGAGAAATCCACCTTTTAAGAGTCTTCTCCTCCAAGATGCCCTTGAAGTCAGCCAATCAACTCCACCTATTACAATTCCTCACAAGCAATCCCCTACAGTGTAAGGTGTGAATCATGAAAGGAACTTTGCTTTGAATGACTATAATTAGTACGTTATTCTATGAAACATGTTTTCCTGTGTCCTGTTGCCTTGGAGAAACACATATAATTTTCACAACCAAGAGATTTATGTTCACAACCGTCCTCAAATAGTCTAGCCCAGAATTGGACAATAATATCACCTATCCCCTATTTTTAAAACTGCCTATAGTGTTCCAAGGACTTAGGACAAAAGTAAAAGTCTGGAATCTTTGTTAATAAAATGGAAAAAGTTTTTTACCAAAGGTTATAAAGTATAGATCATTGTCCTGGCTTGACCTGTCCCAGTATCGGATATTTGTTATGTAATGCCCTTCTCCCTTGGGCACAGAAGTATTATCAGAGTATGTCTGTAAGTTCTGCCCTGCAACTTAGCATGCATGAGGCTCATTCTCTGACAGGCTTCCCATCCTGACAACTATAAGCAAATATGCAGAGCCAGAATGGAGGCAAGGAAGTTAAGGTACACATCTGCTTTTCTCATGGGCCCATCACATCAACCAAATGTAGACAGGTGTCCCACCAAGGAATTGCAAACTCCAGACTAGGAATCACTTGAGACCTGGATTGATGGTGGAAGGAGGCTTAGCCCCATTGAGCAACCCATCAAATGTGCTGTGGCCACCACTCTGGGATGAGGACAGCAGCCTATGCTCTAAGATTGAGGAGGGTGCACATGACCACAGCTCTCCTCATGCATGCTTCATGGAGGCCTCAGTCAGGGTGGACAGAGATGGCAGTAACTACTGGTCCAAGTGGGAAGGGAGAAGTTGGGTAGAGCCCAAAGTTTCAGGGAATGGAGGAGCAAGTGGCTGAGGACCCTTTGCAGGGAGAAGGGGACATGGTATAGTGCAGAATCACAGGAGACTCAAGGTTCCCAGACATCAAAAGTTGGTCCTTGTCCCTTTGACTTCACCTATTCAAACAAAAATTCAGAGGAAAAAAATAAGAAACACAACATCATTAAATCCCAGCAGCAGGGCTCTGAGCTGCTTTTTCAGTCTCAAGCTCATGAAAATAGCTGGCTCATTTATTTTTAGATTTGAAATTATCTTTTTGCAACAACAGCTCAGGTGGAATCAAAGAACATGTCATATGGCATTAACTGCAAAACTGCCCGTGAGAAGGTGTGGGAGCTGAGGACCAGGTCGTTTTGACAACAGTCTCCCTTGTGCAGACCTTTACCCTTACAATAGTGAAAGGGATGTAGGAAATTAGGTTGTCTAAATTCATTTGTGCAGCCATAACAGAATACTGCAGACTGGGTAATTTATAATGAACAGGAAGTTTTGGGGGCTCATCATCATGCAGGCTGAGAAGTCCAATATCAAGGGACCATGTCTGGAAAAGACCTTCTTATTGTATCAAACTATGGTAGAAAAAACCGCCATATGAGCAAGAGAGAAAGGAACAAACTGAACTTTATAAGGCGCCCACTCTAGGAATAACGGCATTAATCCATTTAAATTGATTGTTATGTCCTGATTTTGGAGCACATGGATCGCACCCCTGTATTCATTACTATAAGTATTTATTAAGTGTTCACAGAAGCAAAGGCCAATAGATTAGTCTTAACACAAACAGGGTATTCACAGGAGAGAAGATTGAAGGTATTCAATTTTTTATTTATAATAATGGTTTATGAATACATATTAAAAAGTCCAGAAGAGTATATTGATCAAGGAATCAAAGTGGTAAAATTAGATGACTCGTTAATGTGTTTGAAAGGCCATTTAAAAAAGAATGAAGAGCATTGAAATATATTAAATGCTAGAAGTATTTTTTGAAGCCAGAAGATTATTTATATTTAGTCAGATATTTTAAATTATGTGGTTTTAGCTTTGTTATCTTTTTTTTAATTGTTTACTTAGTAGCATTCAGAATGTCAGCAAAACAACTGCACCTTTTGTTTGCAATTACAGAGTGGTATTCAGCTGACAGAACAACAATTATTTCATATAAGCTGCATCAGAGAAAACTGAAGATGAAAAAACTACCATTCCTATATATAAGTAATTTGTGCTGTGCACCAACAGGAACCTGCTTTAAATTTCCATGCCAATTTATCATTTTACAACCCCCATACTGTACTAGGCAAGGTGAATTGTGATTGCAGGTACCACCTGGAGTAGGCTATCTAAAGACACATTTGGTAATGTATTAACTATACAAAAATAGACACTGTAGAGTTTAAAAACAAATCTTACACAGTCTTACATTTCAAGTTTTACCTTAAAAACAAGGGAGTTGTGTGGGACCAGCAGTTAGTGTAATGGCTATGTCGCTGGACTCCCATGTAGTCAACCGTGGTTCACGTCCTGGACTCGGTGGCTTAAAACTCACACCGGGTGTGTGTG